GGTTCGTATAAGTATGTTTAATAATAACAGGACAGTGTGTGAAATTAGTTAAACTTTTGGGCCAGATATGTGGTGGTTTGACAAAATTGACTAGTTTGAGGTGTTCTGATTCTTAATGGGAATTTGCTGAAAGGGAAATTGCTTCAATAATTATTTCTGTATAATTCTATAGGAAAGAACAAGGATTGTGGCTGGCCCAAACTTTCTCACCACATCTATTATTGGTGACCCATTTGAATTTTTATTATGGCTCAGCTTGAATGTTACTGCAACTCTGGACATCTGAGCACAGACGAAGGTTCCATTGTTCTGTAGCCAGAGCTTCAGATCTGGTGGGACGGCCACATATAGATTAACACTTACTATGGAGAAAATTTGATAGGCTTCATACCTCTTGCCAGATCATGAAACCCTGAAGACTGAATCACCTCAGTGGCCGAGGGTTAAAGGTGGGGTGAAACTGGAGCCAGTTCTTTGCTCTTGGAGAAATCAACCACTTTGTGCTTAGGGGAAGGGCATATACTGATAAACACTTTTTAGCAGAAAACATCTTGTGGCTGGTTCTGCCTAGAGAAGTGTGTGTATGTATGTGTGTGTGTGTGTGTGATTTTGGCTGGGTCTGGGTAGGGTGAAAAGTGTGGTTTTACACCTTGAACTTGGGCAAGAGAGGGGAATATATATCAGTATGGTTTGTGTTTCAGAGATGGGGAGGGGACTCCACCAGCCTTGTCTGGTATCAGGAACTGAGCATGCTGGGGATTGGGCCGTGAGAAAGTGGAATTGGGCTATCTGTTGGGGATTAATTAATTAAGATCTGGTATGAATGGAGGGAAAAAGGTATAGGGAATGGTAGGATCTAGCAACTCTGTCTGAGCACATGATCCTAGGCTGAGGCATGTATATGCCTGTGTGTGCGTAGGTGTATGTACTATATTGCTGGGGGATGTAGGCTATGGTGCAAATAGCTTGGGCTGATTCAAGTGAAGGACATCTGAGCTCAGGCCCCATATTTGCCACTTATTCTCTGTGACCTTGTCCAAGATTCTTTACTTCTCTGAGCCCTCAGATCCTCTTTTTTCTTAACTTCCTGCTACTTGGAAGGCCAATGAGTTGCCAAGAAGCTTGTGTTTTTCTGAAACAAGAGATTCCACTCCACACTTCCTGTGCCTTCACAGCCAAGCAGAGCAAGGATGATAGAGACTCGGGTTCCTTCTGACGTCAAGCCTTGCCTTTGCATCAGGGGTGGAAAGGGCTTTGGATAGAACGGGGAAACCAGATGTCCTTTCCCTAGCCAGCCTTGTGGTCATCAAGTTGTTCTTTTAGGGAGGCTTCAGTGTGAATTGCATTTTGTTGAATTTTAATCCTCCAATAACAGGCGATCTGTGTTTGAGACCTTTTGGTAAACACAACATTATTTTAACAGGGATATACCATTATTGGGCCATTCTGGAAGGCTGGAAAGTTTAAAGAGCAACGCAAGGAATAGCAAGCCTTCTTGGCCACTAGTCACACTGGAGATTGCCACTGTTTCCAAAATAGCTCTATTTGGTCTACATCTACTCCATGTATGTGAAATAGAACTAATAACATTTGTCCACTGGACTTTTATGAGCTATCATCTTATTAGTTCCCTGTTAAAAACCTTCAGTGGTTCCCTGATCAATACCAAATTATATTTTCTCTTCCTGGCCTTTAAGTCTCTCTACAATTTGAAGACAACATTTATAATGAATATTTGTGTAGTGTTTCATAGTTTTTAGATTTATCCCAGTAATGCAAGTATGGTTTAGTATTAGAAAATATATTAGTATCATTTACCACATTAAAAGAATAAAGGAAGCCCGGCCGGGCGTGGCTCAGTGGTTGAGCGTCAACCTAGGATCCCGGCGATCAGGGTTCGATTCCCGGTCAGGGTACATTCCCAGGTTGCGGGCTCCATCAATGACTCTCTCATCATTGATGTTTCTACCTCTCTCTCTCCCTCTCCTTTCCTCTCTCTGAAGTCAATAAAGATGTATTTAAAAAAATAAAAATAAAAATAAATAAAAGAATAAAGGGAAAAACCCATATGATCATCTTATTAGATTTACAGAAACATTTGATAAAATTCAGTAAAATTTTATGATTAGAGAACAGTAATATACAAGGGACTTTTCTTAATTTGATTAAGAAGGCATCTATAAAAATCCTACAGTAAAAATACACAGTAGGGAAACATTAGAAACATCTTTAAAATCAGGAAAATGACAAGAACATGCATTAGCACACTTTGTGTTCAACATTGTGTGGCCATCCTAGCCAGTGCAGAATTTCTTTTAAAAAGAAACTAGAGTCTTAAGAATTGGAAAAGAGGAAAAAACCTCTTGCATTATGTGCAGGTAATGTGATTGTTTATATAGAACACCTAATTAAATCTTCAGACAAATAGAAATAATAGGAACATTTGGTAAGGTGGCTGGATATAAGATCAGTTTGCAAAAATCAGTTGCATTTTATAAACCATAATAAACAGAAAATAAAATTTAAAAAGACATCATTTCCATTATAAAATAGCAACAACAATCATAAAGTACTTGAGGATAAATTTAATCATATATGCATAAGGTCCTCATGCAGAAAAATGTTAAAGTTTGAGTGACATTAAAGAGGACCTAAATAAATGGATAGATATTTCATGTTCATGGGTTGGAAGACACAATATCAGGAAGATGTCAGTTCTATTCAAATTGATCTATAAATTCAATGCAGTTTCTATCAAAATCCCATCATGGAACTTGATAAACTGATACTAAAATTTGTATGAAAGAGTAAAGAGACTGGAATGATCAAAGCACATCTGAAACATAATGATAGGATTGGGGACTTGCTCTATCAGATATCAGGCCTTATAATGAAGCTAAAGAAATAATGTGTTACTGGTACAGAGGCAGATAAACTGACCAACTAATAAGTTTACAGTGTCCAGAAATAGATCCCTGTATATTTGGAACTTTGATATGTGACCTAATGTTTTATGACAATGACAGGTGAGTGGGGAAAATAAGTATTCAATAAGTGGAACTTATGGGAAAAATTCTCTTTTACATTATGACACAAAAATCAACATCAGCTAATATAAGGGATTAAATATCTAAAGCAAAAATGTTAGTAGAAAATAAAAAAACGTCTTTCTGGCCTTGGGGTAGGGAAGGACCCTAGCTATAAAAGAAATTATGCTTGTGGGATTTCTTACATGAAGTTTTTCATCTTTACTGGGCACTCCCTCTTCCTGATCACACTTTCAGTTTGGAGATTTTCTTTATCTCCTTAAACACATGACTAATCATGTGCCTTTGTGCATCTCTATATTTATTGTCCTGTGCTAACTCCTTTGCATTCAGAAGCCAAACAGTCCCACAGTTCAGATGTCTGTGGCTTACATTTACATGCTGAACTGAAGGTGGGGAAGGGAGCCAAAGGAAGAGTCTGTCATGGGCAGATGATCTGTGGGTCTGGCAAGCTGGATTGCATGTGAGTGTTACAGAATCCCAGTGTGAGATCTAGAAGACCCTCAGGTCTCTGGAACATTCTCTTAACCACAGTATCCACTTTCTCAAGCCAGTTTGCATAGCTAGGTAGTAGAATGGACGGAAAGGGAAAGGCAAGGGAAATTACTCTTATTGTCTTAGGGTTGGAGTGACCTGCAGGTCCCCAGATCTACACAAGTGGAGAAGGCTCTGTTTTCTTACGAGCAAAGCAAAGCTTAGCCTTGTCCAAACAGAGGTAACTCCAAGGTTCCAAACTTGACCGTGGAGCTGAGTAGTTTCATCAGTCTGGGGAGAAAGTCCTTTCTTTGCTCATTCTTTTGATTCCTTCTCACCCCTCATTAAGTTTAGATGTGTTGCTTCGGAGTAGTTGGGATTCTGGGTGGGATCCCCCAAGGATTTGAGTGTTTTCTCTTTGGTACAGAGGGCTTTGAGGTTATGAGTGACTCTCGCTAGTCACCACCTGCTCATTTAGCTCACATAGACAGCCTTTCTTTTCATAACGAATTACAGCCCCTTGCCTTTGTATTGGATTTTGGTTTCCCCAAAGCTTTCACTCTGGTGTCACTGCTCTCTATACCAGAGCCAGTGCGATCTCTCTGAAGCACAGCTGTATTCACCTGCTTTCCACCCCACTTCTCTGCTTAAAACCCTTTGATTGCTTCTCATGGTTTCAGAATGAAATCCAAACTCCTTAGCTTTGCTTATATGACACAGGTGTCTTCAGTCTTCTAGCCTTTTCTCTTAATAGTCTCCTCTAGTTTTACTGAACGTCAGCACGTTGAGCACACTGGACTCTGTCTCCAGGTCTCGTGCGTGCTGCTCCCTCTGCCAGAACACGCTCCATCTCCCTCTGTACCTGGTTAATATAGGCCTTCCTCAGCTCCTAGGAAGCTTTCCCTTAACGTGCCAACATTGGGACAGTTGCCCATCCTTTGTGTTTCTGTAAATCTTACCAAATCATAATACTTAAGATACAACGGTTGAACGTTTACTTGGCTTTCTCCTACACTGAACTCAAAGTTTTGTGAGAGCGGGGTCTGTGCCTTGTTTATTGTTTCCCTTAAATTTAAATACAGTGTCTGACACACAGTAGTCTCCATTAGCTGTCTGTTGAATGAACAAACATCCCTGTGAACTGAGTGATATAGTGCTTAGTCTCCCCTCACACCCTGCCCCTGTAAGGGATGGAGAGATGGAGGGTAAAGATGCCCACAACCCAAGCCACAGAAGTGCTTGGTGGAAGAAGCTGAGCTAGGACCTGTCTTCCCCCAGAGGAATGAACTTTGCATTGGAGGATCCTGCGGAAACGCCTTACCCAGTGCATTCTTTCCCTGCTGGGTCTGTGGTTAAGACGACAAGCTGATGGAGATGCCCCTGGTGGGTGGGCAAATGCATGGACTTGTGGCAGTTGGGTGAATGGGTTTACCAACATGTGATCCTCTCTTTCCCCTCCCACTCCCTTCCTGTTCACAGCGCCAAGCTGAGCTCCCAGCCCCCGATACAGGCTGGGGCTGATGAGAAGAGCCAGAGGACTATCACTGTCAACCCTGCCCACATGGGGAAGGCGTTCAAGGTTATGAATGAACTGCGGAGGTACTTTTCCTATTTTGCCTGTGCCCTTTTGGAAGGAACTTGCTGGGTGAGCGTCATCAGGTTCTAGTAAGTCAGGACCACCACCTCCTAGTGAATTCTAACTCTTCCCCACCCGCCCTCAGACAGGCACTTGGCTTCCTCTTTCAAACTCTGATTGAGACAGATGTCTTTCAGAAATCTCTCTTTCCTTTGTATTTAACACCTATCATTTTAGTGCTTAATCACAGGGGGAAAATCCTTTATGGTTACAGAAGCTTTGCTCATGAACTTGATTTCCAACTGAACCAGCTGCTTGAAGTCCAATAATAGAATGATGACAACACCTACACGCAATTGCAGATGAAAGATTGTGGATGCCATGCATTTTTTTTTGGCCTCCCTCTCATTCCTTGGTCTGAACTTAGCTTGTTAAGATAGCTACATGACTGGAAATATACCTAGTTTCTAAAATGCAATTTAACTCTCTGAAGAAATAAATGAAATGCAAATACACTCATCCTCTCTGATCTAAATGGTGATGAGTGTGAGGCTATTTGCAAGGCCAGTGTGCACGTTTGATGAGCTTGTTGCAGGATAGGCTCAGGACACTGAACATGTTTTTCTGTACAAAGCTTGTGCACACAATCTCTTCCTTTCTAGAGAGCTCAGAAGCTTCTTTTGCCCATGATGCTAATTATTGTAAACTTCATCCTGTTGTGAGCTGTAATTGTTTATCTCCTCTTTTCTCTGTAGCTCATGAGTTTTCTGAGGGCAGAGGCAACTTCTGAATCATTTTGATCTCTAGCGCCTAGTACTTCACAGGAACTAAGGCAGTGGCTAGGCTCTGGGAGGGGTGAGTGGGGATAAAAAGTAAAAAATGTAAATAGGCCAATGAAAATTATAGTCTGTAGTGAAAATAGGTGTTTTATGAAGGAAGAATGCATCAGGTCCCTGCCACGTGGTAGGTGTGCAATAATGATTTGTTTATTAAAGGGTGCTTTGGAAGCAAGGATCAAATTGCAGCTTTGGAGAACACTTCCTAAAAGGGGATGATGCTTGAGGTAAATTTTGAAGGACAAGTTAAGAGTTAAAGAATGAAAGGTGTGTAGGGAAAAGTCTTCCAACAGAGAAAATGGCATGAGCAAAAGCATATATAACTGAGAGTGTGTTTGTTGAGTAAGGGGTTGAGCTACTTTTTTAAAAAAGTTCTATCTGATTCTCTATTTGCCTCCTTATTTCTCCTTTTTGCAGGGCCCAGTCTTTGGCATAAAAACCGAGTTAAATTAAATTTGTCTTATGCCCTACAGCTCAGTTTTGTTAGGCCTTCTGCCAACTTTCCTGGAAGCTCTGTCCATATTTGTCTTAGGCAGTGGGTATGGTTCTCTTGTCACTAAAGAATTTGTGTGTGTTCCCTAGATTCTATCGAAGTTCTTCATGTAGTTCCCTTGAATATGGCTTGTGCCCTTTGTCTAATTTAAGACTCCAGGTTTCCAAATAAACAACCTAACTTTACATCTCATGGAATTAGAAAAAAGAAAAAACTAAGCCTAGAGTTAGCAGAAAAAAGGAAATAATAAAGATTAAAGTAGAGATAAATGAAATAGAGATGAGAAAGACAGTAGAAAAAAAATCAATAAAACTAAGAGTTGGTTTTTTAAAAAAGATAGACAAAATTCTCAAAAAAATAGGACTCAACATAAATGACAGAAGAGACGTTACAACTGAAACCACAAAAATACACTTGATCATAAGAGACCATGATGAATGATTATGTGCCAACAAATTGGATAACCTAGAAGAAATGGATAAATTCTTGAAACATACAACCTTCTAAGACTGAATCAAAAAGAAATAGAAAAATCTGAATAGACTAATAATGATTAAGGAGATTGAATTAGTAACCAAAAATCTCCCAACAAAGAAAAGCCCATGACCAGATGATTTCACTGGTGCAGTCTACCAAACATTCAAAGAAGAATTTATGCAGCCCTAGCTGGTTCAGCCCAGTGGTTAGAGCATAGGCCCGAGGATTGAAGGGTCTCAGGTTCGATTCTGGTCAAGGGTATGTACCTCGGTTGCAGGCTCAATCCCCGGCCCTGGTCCAGGGTGTGTGCAGGAGGCAACCAATCGATGTGTCTCTTTCACTTCGATGTTTCTATTTCTCTGAAAAGCAATGGAAAAAATATCCCCGGGTGAGAATTAAAAAAACACACCCAATAACAAAGAAGAATTAATGCCAATTCTTCTCAAACTTTTCCAAAGACTTGTAGAGGAGGGAACACTCTCAAATTAATTTTAACAAGACCAGAATTATCCTGATACCATAAGGACAGTACAAGAAAATAAAACTACATGTCAATATCCCTGATGAATAATGATATAAAAATTCTCAACAAAATACTAGTAAACTGAATTCAACAGCACGTTAAAAAGATCATATACCATGATCAAGAGGGATGTATCCTTAGGATGCAAGGATGGTTCAAGATATGTAAATCAGTAAATGTGATAAACCAAATTAATTGAAAAATCATGATCCTCTCAGTAGATGCAGAAAAAGTGCTTCAGCATCCTTTCATGATAAAAATCCCAACAAATCGAGTATAGAAGGAACATTCCTTAATAGTATAAAAGCCATATATGACACAGCTAACATACTCAGTAGTTGAAAGCTTTTCCTTTGCGGTCAGGAACAAGACAAGGGTACCCACTCTTACCATCCTATTGAACATAGTACTAGAAGTCCTAGCCAGAACAATTAGGCAAGAAAAAGAAATAAAAGGCATCCACATCAAAATGAAGAAGTAAAATTGTCTGTTTCCAGATGACATGTCTGAATATAGAAAACCCTAAAGACTCCACAAAAAAGGTTTTAGGACTAACAAACAAATTTCGTAAAGTTGCAGGATACAAAATTAACATACAAAAGTCAGTTGCATTTCTATCCCCTAACAACAGACTGTCTAAGAAAGAAATAAAGAAAATAATCCTATTTACAATAGCACAAAAAACAATAAAATATTTAGGAATAAATTTAAGGAGGTGAGTGATCTGTATACTGAAAACAATAAGACATTAATGAAAGAGATCGAGGAAGACACACATAAATGGAAAGATATTCTGTGTTTGTGGACTGGAAGAATTAGTATTGTTAAAATGTCTACACTACCTAAAGTCATCCATAGATTCAATGTAATCCCTATTGAAACTCCAATGGCATTTTTCACAGAAATAGAAAAAACAATCCTAAAATTTGTATGGAACCACAAAAGACCCTTAATAGCCAAAGCAATCTTGTAAAAGAAGAGCAATGCTGGAGACATCACATTTCCTGATTTTAAACTATATTACAGTGCTGCAGTAATCAGAACAATATGGTAGAGACACATAGACCAATGGAATGGAATTGAGAGCCCAGAAGTAAACCCATGTATATGTGGTCAACTAATTTTTGACAAAGGAACCAAAAATATTTTATGGGTAAAGGATAATCTCTTCAATAAATGTTGTTAGGAAAACTGGACAGCCACATGAAAAAGAATGAAATTGAACCCAATGCACAAAAATTAACTCAAAATGGACTAAAGACTTAAACATTAAGACCTGAAACCATAAAGTTCCTAGAAGAAAACGGGAAAAGCTCCTTGTCACTGTTTTGGCAGTGACTGTTTGTCACCAAAAGCACAAGCAACAAAAGCAAAAATAAACAGGTGGGACTACGTCAAACTGAAAAGCTTCTACATAGCAAATGAAACCATCAGCAAAATGAAAAGGCAAACCAGAATGGAAGAAAATATTGGCAAATTATATATTTTATTAATATCCAAAATATATAAGGAACTCATTCAACTCATTAGCAAAAAACTAAATAATCTGATTACAAACTAGGCAAAGGACCTGAATAGACATTTTTCCAAAGAAGATATCCAGATGGCCAACAGAGACATGAAAAGGGGCTCAACATCACTAATCATCAGAGAAATGCAAATCAAAACCACGAGGTATCACCTTATACCTGTTAGAATGGCTATTATCAAAAAGACTAGAGGAGATAAAATACTGGCAAGGATGCAGAGAAAGGGAAGCCTTGTGCACTGTTGTTAGGAATGTAACTTGGTATAGCTACTAATGAAAACAGTATGGCACTCCTGGGTCTATATCTGAAGAAAAAAGAGATGGAAATTCTGCCATTTGCAACAACATGGGTGAACCTTGAGGGCATTATGCTAAGTGAAATAAGTCAGACAGAGAAAGACAAATACTGTATGATCTGGCTTGTATGTGGAATCTAAACAAGCTGAACTCCGAGAGAGTAAGTAGATTGGTATTTGTCAGGGTCTTGGGGTGGGGGAAATGGAGAGATGTTGGTAAACAGGTACAAACTTTCAGTGATAAGATGCACAAGTTCTGGGGATCTAATGTACAACATGGTGACTATAATTAGCAATAGTGTATTTATTGTATGCTTGAAAGTTGCTTAGAGAGTAGATCTTAAGTGTTCTCACCACAAAAAATAAGTGGTAACTATGTGAGGTATAGATGTGTTAACTAACCCAACTGTGGTGATCATTTTACAATATATATGTATATGAAATCATTACATTGTATATCTTAAACTTATACAGTGCTACATGTCAACTGTATCTCAGTAAAACTGAGGGGGAAAAAAGATTCCAGGCCTCTCATCAGACCTTATTTTGTCAGGCATAGGCAACCTTAGTAACTGCTGAGAGAAAGCTCAGGGAATAGAGAGGCACATAGAATCCTCCCCCCCACTCCATTGCTAGCGTTTTTTCTTTTTCTTAAATAACTTAAAAAAGAAGGTCTTCCTACTATGTTCTTATTGCTTCTTTTGCAAGTTACCATGTTTTTGCATCTTTCCCCAAGAGCATCTACTTAGCTTTAACCTGCTCCAACAATCCTGCTGCTTCTCTTTTGTATAAAAATTAGCATTTGCCAGTGTGTTCTGAGGAGCATTTCAGGATGCTCTGCGGGGAAAAAGGAGCTGGGGACCCAAGTGA